ACATTTCTTTTACTTTCTACAATTTAAGAACCCAAATAGAATGGATACAATAGATGCAAACAAATCTAATTCATGTTCGAACAACAAATTGAAATCAATATAAGCTTCATAATCAGGTTGCTCATGGATTATTGTTACTACGGTTGAATGGAATTTGTTAATCTTGCGTTATCAGTATTCACCATGACAACCCTTATGATGTTATTGCCAGGATATTTAGAGATTATTGCTCTTGATGGTTGAAATATTGATACAAAACAGTGAAATATTTAAGGTTACTTAAAATGGAGTTAATTCTTTTAATGGTTGTTTGTTTCTTATTGTTACTATGGTTACAGGTTGAATAAGATTTAACAATCTTGTGTAATTAACAATTACCATGACAACCCCTTTCAGAATGTTTAAAGATTATTTTTATAGCTAGGATGGGATTAGTTGATGATGGTTGAAATTTTGAAAGACAATGGTGAAACTTAAGATGTTATTTATCAAATTGAATTGGATTTTGGAAAATTTTCTGACAAATTAATGTCTTTCGTTGTTTGCTCTTCAAACAATATGCATTGTTCTTGGATTTGCGTTTTGCTTTATAAGTGGATCGAATTGAAATCTAGAGTCACAGTCACGATGATATCCAAGTTAGCTGTGAACAAATAACAATGGGTTTTAAGTAAAACTTAACATTTTTTTTTCATAGAAACAATTTATTGCTTTGTCTAATGTTTAAGATTCATTACAAATTCGGTATATACATTTTATGGGAATCTTGGATTAACTTCGACCAAACAATGTACCAAGTCATAGGCCTTAAGAGAATGATTCTTCGCCTGTTGCTTCAGGAACTGCGCCAAAGTATAGGTGACTCCATCGGAGCCGCAGAAAAAGTTGTTTAATTTAGTATACGCTTATCAGATGCACACGGATCAAGGAACAATGCAAATCCTTTGTTTGTCGAAGATTTGGTAGGCAAACATAAAGAAAATGAATGTTATCAGTAATTAACAGTAATACAATTAAATATTTTTTGTATATTCATGGAATTGTACTTCCTAATTGCAACTTTTCTCTTAAATAAGTTTGAAATTATCGATTTTAACTGGTAAATTATCGATTTGATAAATTTAAATTTCCAAATTTTTCTTAAGTAAATATTTAAGTTTTTTTTCAATTTCTCGTAATATTTGGTAGTAAATTGAAGAAAGTTTAATGAAATGATGGAAAATGCAAACGAAAAATGGTATGTGCAGAAAATCAAAATGTTTTTATTTGAAAATATTTTACAAATCATACAGTTACAATGTTTTTTTGTTTAAATTCATAATCGAAAACCCAAATTTGGTTTAAACTTCGTCACGTTGCAGACATTTAAGAAAATATTGAAATATTAAAGCAAAAATTGTGTATTAAACATTTGCTTCAATAATTAGTATTTTTCTAATGGTGGCTTAACAATTGGAATTGTGATTATGGGCTGATCGATCTGTTTAAGAAAACAAATTTTGAAATTCACGATCTTCAAATCGGGATTTTCCAGCAGCGCCTTTACGAAACCTTCGTAAGTATAAAACTGTCCATCCGAGCCGCACACAAGTGGATTCTTTTGCCTGGCAAAGTCACCGGCGACATTGTCGCATTCTCCCCACTTGACAAATGTTATTGCAGAGTCCGACAATGATGCGTACTGGTAAACACATGGGTTGTCGTACGTTTTACCATTGGAGGCGCAGATCGGTAGGTATTCTTCGGTGCAGATCGGATATCCTTCTTCGCAAGTGCCGTAATGGATAATTCTGACATGGGATTTTGCGTTATGCTCGAAGAGACACTTGTTGGCATAGGTTACAGCATCACTTCCGCAAATAGGAGCCCATAAGGCAGGACACGCTACGCTCTGGCCGCGTCCAAGATGGACGGACACACTTAGAACAATTGCCAATGTAACAGCTAACTTGGATATCATCGTGATTGTGACTCTATATTTCAATTCGATCCACTTATAAAGCAAAACGCAAATCCAAGAACAATGCATTTGCATCCATTGTTTGGAAGAGCAAACAACCAAAGATAGTATTCTGCCATAAAATTTTGCAATCTCCAATTCAAAATTTATTTTTAACTTGATAAGTAACTTCTGAAGTTTCATCATTGTATTTCAATATTTCAACCATCATCAACTAATCCCATCCTAGCTATAACAATAATCTATAAATATTCTGATAAGGGTTGCCATGGTAATTGTTAATTATACAAGATTATTAAATCCTATACAATCTGTAACCATAGTAACAACAAGAAACAAACATTAGAAAAATTAACTCGATTTTAAATAACATTAAATGTTTCACTGTTGTCTTTCAATAATTCAACCATCACTTACTAGATTACCTTTTCCCAACCAACATACAACAATAAAAGCAATAATATCTGAATATCCTGGCAATAACATCATAAGGGTTGTCATGGTAAATACTGACAACGCAAGATTAACTAATCCTATGCAACAGTAGTATCAATAATCCATGAGCAACCTGATTAAAAAGCATATATTGATTTTAGTTTGGATTGACTTCGACCAAACAATGTACCAAGTCATAGGCCTTAAGAGAACAATTCCTCGCCTGCTCCTTCAGGAAGGAACTCCGCCAAAGTATAAGTGAGCCGCAGATAATGTTGTTCAATTTACGTTCAGTATTATTGCATATTCCGTACTTGACTTTCGATTTGATTCGTTCATCTTATATAGTGAACGCTTATCAGATGCACACGGATCAAGGAACAATGCAAATCCTTTGTTTGCCGAAGATTTATTAGGCAAATATAAAGAAACAATGAATTACTGATAACAGCAATTAACAGTAAAAAAAATAAAGATCTTTTATATACTCATGGAATTGTACTAAAGCACTTCCTAATTGGAACTTTAATTTCTCATTATAATATCATCTACTTATTGGATTTTTACATCCAAATTTTCCTGAAGTTTCTTTTCAATTTCTCGTAATATTTGGTAGTAAATTGAAGAAAATTTAATGAAATTATGGAAAGTGCAAACAAAAAAATGGTATGTGCAGGAAAATATTTTTATTTGAAAATGTTTTACAAATCATACAATTACAATGTTTTTTTTGTGTCACGTTGCAGACATTTAAGAAAATATTGAAATATTAAAGTGTATTAAACATTTGCTTCAATAATTAGTATTTCTGTAATGGTGGCTTAACGGTTGCAATTGTGATTAGGGCACGACCTTATTAAGGCAAAGTTCGAATTTCACGATCTTCAAATCGGGATTATACAGCTGCGCCTGTTCGAAACCTTCGTAAGTGTAAAACTGTCCATCCGAGCCGCACACAAGTGGAATCTTTTGCCTGGCAAAGTCACCGGCGACATTGTCGCATTCTCCCACCTTAACAAATGTTAAAGTAGAGTCGAACAAAGTTGCGTACTGATAAAAACATGAGTTGGTGTAGGTTTTACCGTCGGATCCGCAGATCGGATGGTAAACGTCGGTGCAGATCGGATATCCTTTTTCGCAAGTACCGTAATGGATAATTCTGACATCGGATTTTGCTTTATGCTCGTAGACACAAGTGTTGGCATAGGTTACACCGTCACTTCCGCAAACAGGAGCCCATAAGGCAGGACAGGCTCCAGTCTGGCCTCGTCCAAGCTGGACGGACACACTTAGAACAATTGCCAATGTAACAGCTAACTTGGATATCATCGTGATTGTGATACTAGATTTCTAGATTCGATCCATTTATAAGGAAAAACGCAAATCCAAGAACAATGCATCAATTGTTTGAAAGAGCAAACAACGAAAGATATTAATCTGCCATAAAATTTTCCAAAATTCAATTCAATTTGATAAATAACTTCTTAAGTTTCACCATTGTCTTTCCAAATTTCAACCATCATCAACTAATCCCATCCTAGCTATAACAATAATCTATAAATATTCTGATAAGGGTTGCCATGGTAATTGTTAATTACACAAGATTGTCAAATCCTATTCAATATGTAACCATAGTAACAACAAGAAACAAACATTAGAAGAATTAACTCGATTTTGAAATAAAATTAAATGTTTCACAGTTATCTTTCAATAATTCAATTGTAACAATAACAGCAATAATCTGTAAATATCCTAAGAATATTCTGTAAAATGTAGTCATGGTGTATACTTAATACGAAAGACTAACAATTTTTGATAATAGATTAATGTTTGGTAGAAAATTGAAGAAGTTTCCATAAGAAATATTTCTCGAAAATAATCGATGTTAACTGGTAAAATGTTGATTTGAAAAAAATGAAATTTTCGAAATTTCCTTCAGTAAATATTTAAGTTACTTTTCAATTTCTTGTAATAGAGTAATATAAGTAATGTTTGATAGAAAATTGAATAAAATTAGAGAATACGGAATTTCTCAAAAATAACTTTTAAATTATCGATTATAATATCGATTTGAAAAAATAAGTTTCCCAAATTTCCTTTAGTAAATATTTAAGTTTCTTTTCATAGAAAATTGATGAATATGGAATTTCTTAAAAATAAGTTTGAAATTATCGTTTTTAACTGTTAAAATGTTGATTTGAAGAAATGAAATTTACTTAAGTAAAAATTTAAGTTTCTTTTCCATTTCTCGTAATAGAGTAAAGTTTTGTAGAAAATTGATGAAAACAGGAAAATACGGAATTTCATCCAAGCTATAACAATAATCTCTAAATATTCTGATATTGGTTGTCATGGTAATTGTTAATTACACAAAATTGTTAAATCCTATTCAACCTGTAACCATAGTAACAATAAGAAACAAACAACCATTGAAAGAATTAACTCCATTTTAAGTAACCTTAAATATTTCACTGTTTTGTATCAATATTTCAACCATCAAGAGCAATAATTAATAAGACTTTGTTTGTATTAATTCTGTTTGGGTTCTTAAATTGTAAAAAAAAAAGTGAACAAATAACAATGGGTTTTAAGTAAAAATTAACATTTTTTTTTCATAGAAACAATTTATTGCATTGACTAATGTTTAAGATTCATTACAAGTTCGGTATATACATTTTATGGGAATTTTGGATTGAATTCGACCAAACAATGTGCCAAGTCATAGGCAATAAGAGAAGGATTCCTCGCCTGCTCCTTCAGGAACTCTTCCCAACTATAGGTGACTCCATCCGAACCGCAGACAACGTTCTTCAATTTACGTTCATTTTTATCGTTGCAATTTCCGTAGAAGACGATCTGCAGATCGCCATCAGATTTTAACGCATTCTCGAAGACGCACTTGTTGCCATAGGTTAAACCGTTGGAGGCGCATATCGGTTGGAATTCGTCGGTGCAGATCGAAGAACTATCTTCGCAAGTTCCGTAATACAAAATCCTGACATCAGGATTATGTACGCTATGTACGAATAAACACTTGTTTCTATAGGTTACACCGTTGCTTGCGCAAACGGGAGCCCATAAAGCAGGACAGGCGTCATATTGGGCTCGTCCTAGCTGAACGGAAACACTTAGAAAAATTGCAAATGCAATAGCTAACTTGGACATCATCGTGATTGTGATGCTAGATTTCTAGATTCGATCCGCTTATAAAGCAAAACGCAAATCCAGGAACAATGCATGTGAATCCATTGTTTGGAAGAGCAAACATCTCAAGATATTAATAGTGATTTACACTATCCATTGTATTAGGTCATAAATAAGGAAACAAAGCTTTTTAATAATCTATATATTTAAAAAAAATATTGTAAACATTTCAACGTCCATTTATTTATAATATTGAGTATTTAATAATTAGTATTTATTTGAATTTATGCTACAAGTGAATTACTTGGCAAGTTACGTGTAGTATTCACAATATACGTTTACCTAACTAATATCTTTGCTTCAAAGTACAAGTAGTTACTTGACAAATATCTATATACAAGTAAATTACTTGGCAAGTTACGTGTAGTATTCACAATATCTTTGCTTCAAAGTACAAGTAGTTACTTGACAAATATCTATATACAAGTAAATTACTTGGCAAGTTACGTATAATATTCACGATATGCGTTTACCTATTTAATATGTTTGCTTCAAGGTACAAGTAGTTACTTGACAAATATCTATATACAAGTGAATTACTTGGCAAGTTACGTGTAGTAATCACAATATACGTTTACTTAACTAATATCTTTGTTTCAACGTACAAGTAGTTACTTGACAAATATCTATATACAAGTGAATTACTTGGCAAGTTAACTGTAGTATTTACAACATACGTTTACCTATTTTTAATTACTCTCTTATTGATTGCTAATCACGTTCATTTGCATTAGAATGGATCAAGCCGCTTGATCAATGGCATTATGCGTATATATTCGTCATAAGCGCTACGCAATACAATACATTATGACGAATATATACGACATAACAACTTAAGGGGTTAAACAGATATATGCTTTTATCTCAACTATAACAAAAAAAAACAAATTATTATTTTTTTTTCTTTACTTTTAACCTTAATTCAAATTTGATGATTTATGAAGCGAGATGTTAAGGAAATCATGATTAAGCTTAACTGCATGATTTCATTGATAACTTTTTTTTCGGATTTGGGTGAAATTTAAAAGAAAAAAATGTAAATAGTTCAAATTTGTGTATTTAGTAAAGTCGTGCAAAGATTTATTCTTGGAAGTATGGTTTGTAGTAGCAATTGCTCAGCGGCAATTCTTCGAGTTCTGGTCTGAGTTCTTTCTGATCCCAGAAAGTCCTTATCTCGTATATCAATAAATCCGATCCGCAGACCGTCGGTGACTCGTATAAAGATTGTACAGGTCTATAACGAATTTCTTGATCAGGAGGGCCTGGTGGTAGAGGACTAGGCCTGCAGTTATCTAATCCCCAATGGCCAAGATAAGGTCTGACCGATTGGAGTGCGCGAAACGTTGGCAAATCGTAAAATTTACCATCAGTTCCGCATATCACTTCAGTTACCTCCCCTGTGAAGCATGGATAACCGTTTCTCTTCCTCAGACTCGGATTCCTTTTAACGGCAATATCGAAGAAGCATTTGTTATTGTAGGTGATTCCATCCGAGCCGCAGAAAGCAAAGCGTTTGTCTTCTGCATCGCACACGATCTCATCCCAATCAGAGTACTCACACGTTCCGTGAAACTTAATTGTTAACGTACTGTCCTCTTCATCCAAAGCATGATTGAACAAACATTCGTTATCATAAGTCTTTCCATTTGAGGCGCAAATCGGTTGGTAAATTGCCGGACAAATTGGACTGGATTCAATTGGTGCGCCGATTGCAGCGACCAAAGCTACGATCAAAACGAACTTCATTTTGATTGTGACTGCTTCATTACTTTCACTCGCTTTTTATACCATTTCTTACAATTATCTTATTTGCTCAAGAAGACAATACTAGTATTGTTTCAGTAATCTTTTTGAATTGTTCTCGATGACAATCACTTATTAATTGTATTCTCTTCAAACTTATTACACCAAAAAAGTACACACACGTTTTTAGTATTCAAATTTTTATTTTCTATTACATAAAATAAACTTAAAAATCAATCAGTTTAAAGAAATGTTCATAATTTACAATAATTCAAATCAATCCAAGTAAGCCAAATCAATGTTCATGCGTTGTCATAAAAGAAACGTTACTGTTTTGATCTACCGCCATTTATTTTCTGTTGAGGTTAGGTAAGTTTTCATTGATCAATTGTGCAAAGTAAACCTTTCAATTTAATTTCGAAATAATTTTAGTACAAAAATCCATCTTGTAGCAAGAAAAAAATGAATATCAAACTTTTTTCAGCAAAAAAAAAACATGAAAATTTGGATTATTAACATTTGTGATATTTCCATAATTACCAATAGAAACAGCTAAAATTCAATATTAAATATAATTTATTACAAAAATCCACCTTGTAACAAGAAAAATAAATAATAATCAAACTTTTTTCTGCAAAAAAAAAACAAGAAAATTTGGATTATTAACATTTGTGATATTTCCATAATTACCAATAGAAACAGCTAAAAATTCAATATTAAATATAATTTATTACAAAAATCCGCCTTGTAACAAGAAAAAAAAATGATAATTAAACTTTTTCTGCCAATAAAC